AAAAAAAAAAAAAAAAAAAAAAAAAAAACTGATCTTATTTGTAATTACTAATTAGGATTTTATGGTTAAATTGATACCTTAATAGTGAATTATATGATTTTTTTTTAAATAGTGAACCCACAATTATAAAATAAGTGTAATTAATACTTTTATTAGAAATCTAATAAAAATATAAATATATCGAAATGAAGTACAGCCAATTTATGTAAATTATTGATAAAAAAAAGTATATATAAAAAAATCTGGTATTATCCATTATTTTGGCCAATATTTTACGATATAATCGGTATTTTTAGGCATGAAACCAGTACAAATTAATATTTTGCAAAAAGAGGTACTTAATGAGTTACCGTACCAAGAGCGCTTGGATGAGATGGTTTGAGTCTCTTCCAGCTTAACCAGTGGTCTCGTGTTCGAGTCATAGGAATGCAACAGTGTTAAAACTCTTGAGGGAGAGCTTTGCCGCCCTTGTGGTCCTACCCGGCTCGATTCCGGATTAGTCAGTTCCCCTGTGGATCCAGAAACTGGAAGGTCCCTGTACCAAAAAATAAATAAATAAATAAGTTACCGTAACGATCGGACCACCAATTCTGGTATTATAGAACGGCATGATACGGTATAATTAATCTCTTTTTTGCTAAGTGTCAAACAAGGTCTTCATGTGTTAAAGCATAATTTCATTCTTTTCATAAAGCTTTATAAAGGTGCATTTGTGGCAAGCGTCTAAAGGGCACATAATCTTCTCCATTTGTATAATACATTCACAAGTCATAAAGAAAGAATGGTGAATCATGTGAATGTTAGGTCTCCGTGTAGTTAATGAACAAGAAGATAGCTCTCATTTGACAGTGGTCCATAGCACAAAAAGGGAAACTTTGCAACAATATGGCTGGTCTAATAAATTAGCGACAACCGGTGAACTTCATTTTCGTCTCGGTTATGTGTTTTTTCCATCACCCGCCGCAAAACCTTTCGCCTCCTTTGCATCATACTTGAACATGGATATGAGCTTTTCATGTGTTTGTCGACATCTGTTAGCATGCGAACTTTTTGTTTGATAAGCATCATAAACTATCTGTCTTGTAGCTTATTTAGTTAGCGTATAATAAATTTTATTGTATTTAAATAAGTCTTGTTTGGTTGTTTGGTAGGATGAGCTTTTGGAAAAGCTCGGTATTATCTCATATGATTACGGAGGCATCGTATCAGAAAAAAAACGTTAGCATTGCCAAAATTCTCATTGTGCATTAGAATCTCAAAATTTCCTGAGGTCATGTGTTAATATTATCTTAATTTTTTTAATTTTTAATCTCAAAATTTAGAAGTGTATTGATTATTGTATTGTCTCTGCATATTTTTCTCATACATTAATAGTTTTATGCAATCTTTGGTTTTAATATAAAGTAGGAACATCTCACTGTGAAGATGCAATGTTTGCACTGTTTCATTCATTTAAATATGCAATTTAGAAGTCATTTAAAAGTTGAACAAACAACTGTTTGATTCATTTGATATGCAATTTGAAACACTCATTGTGAAGTAGAACAAACAACAAACTACAATTCGTATGATATGAAAAAATGAACTGTGGATTTCGATCAAGTCTAGCGTAAATATCCCTGTCCAGAAATTCCAATCAGAAACGCGAAAAAAAAAACCCACAAGGATGGACTATTCGAAAAGAGTCGCAAGAAAAAAGAAAAAAAAAAAAACAAAAACAGTCGGAGCAAATAAAACTATCGACAATGATGATACATTCCAAAATCTGCCGGGAGAGGCTGAATTTTCGCACTCTTCGTATAGTTCAACTTACTTATAATCACAAACAGCTTTATTCCAAAAAAGAAAAAAATAATAATAATAATAAATAAAAATTGGTGAGGATCCAATTGAAAACACAGATACTTTAGATGTGATTACAGAGATGATACAGAAAGCCGCTTTTGCTTCTAGAATTGACTCGGAAGATCGCCAAGAATGTAATTTGCAATGCACTTAAACTCTTATTATGACCATAAGTGTTCTCCACAATATTCTCGCACAATAACGGGGACACTTGTTGGTGGGATCTGTACACATCAACAAATGTACACATCAAATTCTAATGTAAGTCGGAACACTATTGATCCTCCTTTTTTTAAAAAATCAAATGTAAGTCGCACAAAGTTAACTTAGTACGTGGTAGTTGGTACGATTTACTTTGAAATTAAACCAATATTCACCAGTAAAAGGCACGTAAAGACAATAGAATGAAAGAGATATTAGTGACTTGAGTGTCTGGTTTCTCTCTCTCTCTCTCTCTCTCTCTCTCTCTCCCTCTCTAAAAAAATTAGAGAGTTGCAAATGCTTAAGTCTAAAATGCATAGCAAACAGTACAAAAAAGAGTATTTGACTTACCATGCCATAGTCAGTTATGATCATCGACACATAATCTGAAGGTGTTGCATCGTAACTGGTACAGTCCCAACAAAAAAAAGAAAAAAATGTCAGCCAATATAACATCATCAACCAGCAGAGTACCTTAAAAATCTATCAAGGAAAAAGACTCACATCAGGTTCAAGAGTTGTAGATTTTCACTATTGGCCCAACCATCCAAATCACAGATTTCCCTTCTACCAGAAACCTTCGAAATAGCATCAGGATCACCTAAAAACGTTCGTGAATAGCAATTTTCAAAAACCACAATATGATACAACATCCACCCTCGGTCCCAATTCAAACGTACTTCTACGTTTTGGCACAGGAATCAAGGCAAAAGGATAAAAAGATGATCTTTTCCAAATATGTAGGCATTTTTGTATTCAACATAACCACATTTAAATTTTCAAGGTAAATAAAATATCATATAAATTGAGACAGAGGGAGTACTAATTAGGCTCAGAATCTGGGGACTAAAAGACTTACCAAGCTCATTAGAGCAAATCGAATCAAGTTGAACCCTTTTATGAAACTTGTACGCTTCACAGCACACCAAAACAGGGACCCGAAAATGATGGGCCACCATTGCAACACAGGCTGTGCCGACCCTTGAGTACACGGTCCCATTAGACAAAACCGATGAAGCCCCCAAAAACACCCGAGTGACTTCATGCATGACATAAGAAACAGCATTTACGTGAGTGTACGTGCAGCTGACCCCTTTCCCCACAAGCCTACGGAGCAACTTTTGTCCTTCGAGCTTCGGGCGTGAATCCACTATCACCACACGGAACTTTTTGCCGAGCTCGTGCGCATGCAGAAAAACCAACTCGACTGCAGAGGATGAACCGTAGGTCAGAAGTACATCGTTGTCCCTAATTTTGGTCACGGCATGCTTCACGATCACTTTATCGGCTAGGATTATTTTTTCGCTTATGAAATTATCAATTCCGGAGATGAGATTGGCTTTTGCCTCCGACTCAGACAGGGTTAGGGGCAAGTGGGCAATTCTGTTTTTGAGAAATCTGATTGCATTGCCCATGCTGATCGAGAGGGGCCTGCACTCGATCAGGAAAGATACGTAACTGTTTATTTTAGTGGTCAGATCCCTTATTAGGGACTTTTCGAGGGGCGTGCTGTAATCCTTGATGGCCTCTTGGAAGGATTGAAGCATGGCAATACAGCGAGCATTGCCGCCGGATATGTCCCCAGATAGGTATCTCAGTCCTACCTGATAAGTGTAATTAAAGGAAAATCAAATTGAAGTTCGATCTTTTTTTTTTTTTTTTTTCAGATTTTTCCATCAGAAATAAATACTTCAAAAGAAAGAGTGATATTTATAACAATATTAAAGCTATCCTTCAAATTGAAGATATGTAACACCAAAAGCAGGTTTATGAGAACTTCAAATGACGGTTAGTGGTTCCATAATTACCTAAAAAATTTATTACAAAATGATAATACAAGCCATTTGTGGCCAGGATTTACCGAGAGCTTCTGATGTTACCTTGTAAACAGCAGGATGAACTGGATCGAGTTGGAAGAATTTTGATTCCAGTTCAGGAAGCTGAGTCCCATGCTCATACTGTGGTAAATGCCTAAACAGTTCGACTCTATTTTTCGCTTCGGTTTGTTTTACTACGGAACGTTTCTTTGCTTTCTCAACTCTAGAGGCATCATCAAACTGCATACGAGGATTGGGGGCATCTTTCTTCCTGTCTTTATCTGGTTGGCGATCACCGCTTTTTTTCTCGGAGGGTGCAACGGAAGAGCTGTCTTTCTTTTGTGATACAGCCTTCAGTGGTTTTCCTGTTAAGGAATTCGCCTGATTGATGCCAGCAGCAGCAGCAGCAGCAGATGACTTACTACCTTCACCTATAAGATACAAATTTCCACTTATAGTATAACGATTTTCTCGGTAGTATAATATAAGATAAATGTTGAAATAAGTTATCAATAAAAGGCCACAAAAGAAAGCTATCAAAAATTTTCCATAGAAAATTATCCAACGACAACGATAAGAGAACCTCACAGAAAATCACAGACATAAAAGGAGCAACAAGAGTAAAGATATATACTCATCAGTAGGAAATGAACTCTGTATGTCGAAATCACTGCAGTGTCATAACATACATATGCAAGAAAAAGGTTGTTCTCTGAAGTTGCTATAGGACAGAAACACCTGAATCAAGCTCACTACCAAAAGCAATATGACATATGAAAATTAAGTATTATCAGACAACAATCTTTAATCGAGCAATAATCGAACTTTTATCCATTTCAAACTTCTAGCAATATTATATCATCAGTCAACAGCATTGACTGCCAAATCAACTATAACTGAAACTGAATTTAAGATGACAAAAAAGGAATAGAATAAGTCTTCCAATCACTGAAATCTAAAACTGGCCAAGGAAGAGCTTCAGGGCGTAAAACAAAACATATAGAGGCACACTATTTGCATCATTCCATCATTCACAAGAATATTGAAGGAGAAAAAAATACACTGCCATGACCAACAAGAAAGGCCCATAGATTTTCACCGCTACCTCGATCAAGATTACCTTAGCAAGAAGTACACTTCCCTTTTAGGTATATTGTAGCCATTGATGGATAAGTTATACCTAATATGGTTATAAGAAGAATTGTCGCCACTCGGCACCAATGTTTTTCGTGATTGGACTGGTCGGAATAGTGGGACCTCTTTTAGGCATGATTAAAAGTGATTGTTTATTTAATACACGGCACAAAAAGGCAATGTGAACATATGCTAATAACCAAGACAAAAAATATACTAACAAATCACCAACTATAAACATACATATGTTTGCATAGATAATGAAGTAAATAAATTATAATAGCAACTTACATATAACCAAATATCCAGTTTACGAGATTCTAAATAATATTAGCTTCTGACTGCTTCAAGCCTTAAACTGAAATCCAATTCCTTTGACCATAATTAGAAGTTTGACAGTCCGGTGTTTCATCCGGTTTGCATGATATTGTGTTTCATTTTATATCGACTAGACGCCTTTACAAAGCATTCTAGACAATGAAAGTCAGGATTTTCTTACACCTATGCTTCTCGCCTTTCCACAATGATATCAAATGCCACATGAATAATGAAAGGGATCTAACCAGTCGTTATTTTACTTAATGAAGATCTTTGCATAGAGAAATCGGCAGATTTACTTACAATAACACATAGCAATTCTAATGGTAATAAATACCTAGAACTAAGATAAACATGACACGCGTCAAACAAAATCAACACCAAACAAACTTGCAAAAACGGCTCTGAAAATGCCAAAGAAATGAGCATCCAATGTTTCTACCTTTGGCAGCAGCTTTTGCAGCTCTCTGCGCCTCTTGGATAGCCCGTCTTTCAGCTTTTGTTGTCTTCTCCTTTAATGGCTTTGCAGCAGCTGAACTCTGCTCCGTCGGCATTTCAGCTTTTGACTCTCCACCTATTCCACCAATCGTTTAATCCCAAATGAACTCTGACGTCTAAGCACTCACTAAAAGATATCACATATGACCAAAAAAATTCAGACACGAGGGCAAGAGGAACAACAAATCCAAACCTGGTGGCAGATTACGAATACTCTGCTTGGCCAAAGCCATATCAAATCCACCAGCAGGCAGCGAGCTGGCGAACTTCCCGAAGCTCCCTTTGCGACCGAACCTAGGCGATGGCTGCTCCTCGGAAAAATCGGCAGTTGCCGTAGGGGAGATGAACTCCGACGGGTTGTAGCTGCCGGCGGGGACGAACGAATCGGCGGGGCGGGAGACAACGCGGAGGGGGGAGAAGTCCGGGGGATGGGGGAAGTGGCGGGAGAGGTCGGCGGAGACGTGGCGCGGCGGCGGGATCATGACGGGGGACAGTGAGTTGCCGGAGGGGGAGTGGTCGGTCGCCGGAGGCGGGGTGGCGGCCGGGCCCGACTGGGTGCGGTCGGGAGGGGCGAAGAAGCCGACCTGCCGGACCTTGGGGTCGATGACGGTGCGGGGAACGCGGCGAGGGTCCATGGCTTGGGTAGGTGGGTTTTTCTTCTCTTAGCTCCCCTTTGATTTTGCTTGGGTTTTATCTTTATGGGCTGCTTTGAATTTCTTGATTTGCCGGCTTCAATGGAGATGAGGAGAATCTAGGGTTCATGAGGTGGGAATATGATTTTTACAGGTGATTTGGTTTAGTGTGGGTAGTGGGCTCACCAGTGAGGCCGACATTAGTGGCTTCTGCTCGTCTTTTTCTAGCTAAAAACGAGCACTATGTTTGGATAAAGAATGTTTGATTTTTATTTTTTAGCTGTTTATGGATGGATTTATTTTATTTTATTTTATTTTTTCAATTCTCCAATCCATTAAAAAAAAAAAAATACTAGTATATGTTAGGACGAAATGAGTTGTTCGTGAACTTGGCTCGACTTGTTTCTTATTCAAATCTTATTTAGTAAATGGGCCGAGCTTCGCTTGTTATTACTTGAGTGTGGTGTGTTAAAGTTCGAGTTTGAGTCGTTAATATTGATAAAACGAGTCAAGTTCATGCTCGATTACTATCTCGTTCAGAGTCGAACTTGACTCAGCTCAAGACTGACCCGATGGGTTCACACTCTAGCGGGTCAGAGAGAGGAAACTGTATATGTAATTGTTGGTAAAAAATTATAATATATTCTAATCACGATATGCATCATTTCTTTTAGAGGAAATTGCATCCTCTACGTCCTCTTCCCTAAAATATTATAAATCTACCACCATTAGTTAAATAATTATACAATCACCAAAAATATCATAAAATATTACTAATTTACCTAAACTAATAGTGTTGCAGTTATATCCGATAATTAATAAAGATTAAACCGATAAGGACGTTTCATTTTTTCTCGCGACAATTCGGGAAACGAGAATATTTTGCAGATGAAAAAAAAAAAAACCTCTCCGTCTCGCTCTCTCGCTCTCTTTCCCCTCTATCGCAATTCTCTCGATCTCTCTTTCCCTCTCCCTTCGTCTTCGTCTGCCTCCCTCTCCGTTTGGAATATTTTTGTTGTTTTCTTCGAAGTCAATATTCTGGGAATTGAGGTCCCCGACCTCTTCCCGCCGTTACTGCCATTAAGGCTGTCCGTCGAAATTCGCGCGGCTAAGAGCCGCTGCCGCTAGGCGGCTGTTATTAATAAAAAAAAAATTGGGATTGAAGCCGTGAAGCCGCTGCTGGAGAGCCGCTACCGCTGCGAGAGATTGGAAGGGTGCTGACGCCGTGAGGTGGAGGAGAGGAGAATTCGGATCTTAGTACAGGGAGGGAGTATATTTCTGAGAAGTTGCGGGAGGTTGAAGAAGATGAATTCTGAGATTTTTTTTTTTCGTTTCATTTATTTTGGAGTATATGTACAATATATTTTCGG